AATTTAGGAAACCCTGACTCGTGCCTAAGGCCACGTGTTCGTCATCACCAAACTTGCCTCGGCTCGGGAACTTGGGTACGATGGGGGAAGGTCATTTCATGAGCACCCCCTTCCATTCCCTTTCTCCAATTTCTAAGAGCAAGCTTTCCCTAAATTTTATAAGCTTTTCCCTAAATTTTACAAGCTTTCCCTAAATTTTATGGCTATCCTAAATTCTAAAAGATGGTGGGTTTGGTAGGAGCTGTGGGTTGGTTGCCCACGGTTTGTTTGTTTGTATTTTTTTTTTCTTTGTGTGTATTTGTAGGGGTTCTGAAAATTGATACCCTAAGATTTTTATCTAAGGTATTTAGTAAGAATAATTATTATATTGAATCCTAATTAAACTAATTTATAAACAACAAATATTGAACACTCACAAAATTATCATTCTTAATAGGGTCTTTGTTAGTGATAGGATTTGGTTAATTTAAAACTAATTAATTAATTTACTTATTTATTTTCTTTCAAGAATAATTTAAATATGGGTTTTCACAAAAATAGACAAATCCACGGTGTTTTATATGGGCTTTGAGATGTGTCCAACTCTGTTTCTAGTACTAGTTGAGAGATGAGACCACGTTGCTACAACTATGAGACTATGAACTCACCTATGGAATTTGATGAAATGACATGTTTCAATTTTGATTCAATGCTTTTCTGAGGTTCCAGTTTCAAATAATTTCATTTTAGCTAATAAAGCTAAATGATCTGAAACTCACAATGAGATGGTGCCCTAACTGTGGGTTCCTAACTGAGCGATGTCCAATTGAGTCACTGAAAGTTGCATATAGCTTCAGATGATATGTCCTTAAACACAGGTTTTCCATGCTATTTTGTATATCACTAATTCTAAAAGCCATCATAGTGCCTCATGCTACCTAGAGTATGCAAAAGTCACCTAAGTTGAGTTGACATTTCCAATTATAACACTTTGGTCAGTCATATTGATTTGTTGCATATGCAGAGGTAGTTTGAGCAGGAGGCAATTAATCTAATGATGAAGTTGTAACAACATTCCACTTGGAGGATTGAATCATGTATGTAGTTCTTGTTTGGAGTTCAAATCGTATGATTCATTTCAATTCAATTTTTATTTTGTCTTATCCATTGCCATCCCTATATTGATTTGTTGCATATGCAGAGGTAGTTTGAGCAGGAGGCAATTAATCTAATGATGAAGTTGTAACAACATTCCACTTGGAGGATTGAATCATGTATGTAGTTCTTGTTTGGAGTTCAAATCGTATGATTCATTTCAATTCAATTTTTATTTTGTCTGTTAATGCTTGCCTTTTTTTGCATATTGGCTATATATATATATATATATCAGTTTCTTTGTTTTGAGACACTTAAATAAATGATCTGTTACTTGGAGCATCTAACAAATTACATATAGCATTCTGTTTCCTTTTTTTTTTTTTTGTAATCTCCAAATCAAGTTTGGTTCATGTACGGAGTTAAATAACCCATCAAGTCATCTCTAACCCATCTGGAAATGTGTATTCATGTACAGATTATTTTACATGTGAAGCCAAAAGACTAATTTTGTCTGTAGTTTTGGGTCACAAAGTTCAAGTGCAGCTGAAGATTTGCAGGTGGTATTCTCCCTTTATCCCTAATTGATTAACTATGACACTCCTATAATTAGAAAGCACTAATCTTTCTTTAATGAAAGAATTGGCGCAATCACTATCTGATATTTGAATTGAATTAAGGTAGCTTGCTGGAAATAGGTGCTTGAGCTGGAACTCTCTCGTCAGCTGGATCAGCATACACTATTAGAAGGTCTAAGTGCTTCCGAGTCGAAAAGGATAGCTAGCAGAGCTAAAACAAACTTGACAAAAATCAAGTGCAGCTCAAGATTTGCAGGTGGCTTTTTTTCCCCGTTCCTCCCTCTCTCCCCCCTCTCTCTCTCTTTCACACACACACACCCCCGCACTCGCTCGCACACACATATTCGATCTTTTTATCTTCTTTTGACAAAAAGCAGGCTGAAAACCTAATGTTCATAATTGGCATTCCATCCAAATTACAAGAAATCAAGCGAAGAGAAATATTAAATGATGAAAAATCCATTACAATATGGCCGAGAGGTTTAGGCCATGTTTGGTTTAACTCTCAAAATACAATTTTTGAAAAAAATTTCCATAATTTTGTTTGGTTGGAAATTTTTTGAAAAAAATTTCCAAAATCACTTTCTCTCTCCTACACATCAATCAATCACTTTTTCTCTCTCCTCTCTCCTCTCTCCTCTCTCATTCTCAAAGACTTTTTCTCTCATACACATCTATTCAACTACAACAAAATATCAAATCATCTCAAACTCTCATACTCCAAAACTGTATCTAAAATATACAACCAAACAAACCAAAAAAATTTCTAAACTCTTTTCCCAAGATTTTTTTTTTAAATTTGTCTCTCAAAACCAAACCAAACACACTCTTAATGTTTGTTTCTAAGGTAAAGATTTGCAGGTGGTTTTTTTTCTCCCCGCCCCTCCCTCTCTCTCTCTCATACGCACACACACACACACATGCACCTGCGCTCGCTCGCACACACATATTTGATCTTTTTATCTTCTTTTGACAAAAAGCAGCTGAAAACCTAATGTTCATAACTGGTATCCCAAGAAATCAGGCGAAGAGAAATATTAAAAGATGAAAAATCCATTACAATATAGCCGAGAGGTTTAATGTTTATTTCTAAGGTATTAAGTTCACCCCCCTCCTCCCCCCCCCTTCTTTTTTAATTAAGTCTATTTCAGAATCTAATATTTATGTTAATTATTCTAATCTTTCTTATTTCAATTGGGAGCCAACAAAACATATGAAAATTGCATACTTGATGCCTTGAATTTTGAATTATGCGGAGCTTACTCTTGGTCTATGATACTTCAAGAAGCATCAAAGTTTGTAGACATTTACAAATCAATTTGTCTTTAGCAGTGTCTCGGAGTTTCTCTTACACTTCAGGGAGCCATAGCCCTTCTAACATTTGACATCCTATGTTAGAAAATAGAATTATTGAATATGTTGTTTTATTTGCTTTTGTTATGATTTTTTTTCCCTTTTTGTAGTGTAAGGAAACTAAATTAGGCCAAATCATATTTCTTTTGCATATTGCACTTTCTTTGATTTGATCTGGTAGAGTAGCTTGCAAGAAGAAACACATCCTATTCCTAGGTGGGGAATCCATCCACAACCTTGCTGGCTACGCATAATCTTTGAATTTGGGCAAAGATGGTAAGTATAAATTGTAGTCAATATGCTCAGACAATTTTCCTTTATCGATATATCAGAGCTAAATGCATATTTTTCTGACCAAATTAATGTTCCGGGCTCTAGCTATGGCCATCAAGGGAGTGAACTCATCATTCGAAGACTCTGGTTTCTCTTACTTCTACACATTCTACATTTCTAAATTTTTGAGTGAGAATCATCAGCAGGTCAAGTGGAGTGCTATTGACTGAATTGTGAAAATCCAGTCTTGGGTTTTTGGCAACTCTTCTAGTTTATTAAACAGTAGTCGATACAGAAGGAGTGCTTGTCAAATTTAGGTTCATTCGATCTTTTTTTGGTTGTATTGTGAAATTCATTTTGCATATTTACTGTAACATACAATAATGTTATTTCTCCCTTTTTATTGTTTTGTTGGTTGTTGAATTTAACCACAGCATGTAACCCAAGCCAGATAAATATAAATATGTATTCATTTCATCATATATTTTCAGTTGTTATCTCTTTGTTGCGTGGTTAATGAAAAACAAATACTCCTATATAGTGGATTTTTTTTTTTTCTATTAACAAAATCCACATTTAAATATATTGTTAATGATTGTTTGAGTAGTTGAATGACGAGCTAAATGGCTCTAAACTAGGAAGTTATTTGTAAAGTAATTATGCCATTGGTCCAACTCACCTATAAGCCATTGTATTTTGAAACTCCAAAAGAAATATTCATTAATGTTGCTCTTGTCCTTTCCAAAATGGTAATTGTTCTCCCTCTCTCTCTCACACATTGTTTTTCTTTCTTTTTTTACTGTTAATTTTTTTACTCTTTTCTTCCCTTTATTCACCATTATTTCTAATAAATTGGTAATCTTGTAATCCATGTTCTGCACAGGAGATTAGAATCAAGTTCTCTGTTAATCTTCAGTTTAATTGATGGATCCTTTTCATGCTCTTCATTTTGTTGAATTTTTTTTTTTCCCCTCTTCTTAATCAAAGGCCTGAAATTGTTAGTTTCTCATGAATAAATGGTTATTTATTTAAGTCAATTTGGATGTGAATGGGAGTGAAGGTCCATTGATTAGTTCTAGATACGATTTCCTATATTAACTTGACATTTTCTCTATTCCCTTGATCTTATACAAAGATTTCACAACTAGCTTAATATAAGAGTTACAAACTTCTCACATTATGGGTAGTGATAGAGAGCTTTAACACTAGAACTCTAACATGAGCTCTAGTTAGGTGTCAAACCAAAAAAAAAAAAAAAAAAAGGAAAGCCAAAACATCACATCATCATGTGAGATCCACCATTAGAGCTCTTAAATTAGAGCTCCCAAACATTATTGATAAATAGAACATAAGGATAAAAAGGAGTGAGAGGAAGTCACAATAGACTATATAGTCCTAGATCTGACATATTGAATATTTTTCATTAAAATAAAGTTTGATCTCTATTATTTTTTATACAATCATAAATTTTTGTTCTCATCTCATGATTTCAAATTCATTTGGAAAATTATATTTATAATCTTTGCATTTTGCTCATTGTATAAATTTAGTATCTGTAATTTCAATTAGATCAATTTTGACCATTAATTTTAAATTTTGTGTCAATTTTGATCAAATTAATAACATTGATTACATTTTAATCAATCAAAAAACACTAACAATTTAATCAATGAGACAAAATCATGAATCCTGAGTCAATTGAGCCAATTGAAATTATAGAGACTAAAATTATGAATATCCAAATGACATAAGGACCGAAATATAAAAAATACCAACATAATTTACACAATTAAGTATTATTATAACTTTAGGCATATTTGATTGACAGGATTAGAACATGGGATTGTGATTATTAATCCGTGAGCCCTATAATCCTGTATTTGTTTTGAAATTTTATTTTAGGATTACTAATCCAACAAATTTGTAGGATTATTAGTAATGAGTTAAGGGTGAGATTATATATCTTGAGCTGGGAAATAAAATAAAAAGACTCTTTTACCTATTAATTCAATGCAAATCACATAATAGATAATGGAATAATTTATCCTACTAATCCAATTAGATAGTGAATACCACATTAATTTGATGGGATTATTAATATCTTCACTATTAGTCTTGTGAATCAAACCTTAAAGGAATACTTAAATATTTCATCAATATACTGAGATGAATATAAAACTACTATTTTTATGTGCTTTTTCCTATCCTAATCACAATTTAATATGCATTAACATATTAATGCGTATATTTAAGGTGTTTTTAAATAAAAAACTTGTAGGAAGAGTTAGATTAAAGATTTGAAGAAGAATTTGGGGAGGCAAGGAAGACCAAAAAACAAATTTGACAGAAATATAATTTTTACCCCAGTATCTTACTCTTAATATTTATGTTATCAACTCGTGACATTTTGACATTTTATATACTAAAATGCTTCGTCAGCCTACCAACTTAACTGTAATGCGAATTAAAATAAACATTATAATTCCAAAGTAAATAATGCTATACAAACAAAAAGTTCATACATAAATTTCATACATAATGATGTGATTTATTATAAATCTTTTATTTCAAAACAAAACGCTATTAAAGATGAATTTATTTATAATAATAACATTATCACATCATTCTTGTCATGTTTTTTATATAAATTTTATGTATGTTTAGAACTTTTGTTCCAAAGTATGTAAGAGGGCTACAACTGTAGATGGGGGCACTAGCAATTATAAAACTCCCAAATCCACTGCTGCTATTAGATAGCACAATACATTGACAGTCAGAAATAATAATGCATTTCATAACATTCAAAAAGTGTCTAATTGCCATCTTCAAATAAAAATATCCAAGCTACAAAATTTCACCCAAAGAAACACAAACAAAATTTAATAGGTTTGAAACTAAACTGCAGAGCAGCATCATTGTGCACTAAGAACATCTAATATTTGACTCAAATTCCAAGCCCCCAAAGGCAAAGGTACTATACTACATTCATTCATCATCTTCATCATCCATCTCCTCATCAGCTCCTGCTGCTGCATTGAGGGCATTCAGTCGTTCAATCAAGCTAGCTTTCCTTTCATCACATGTCAGCTTCTTCAAGTTGTACCTGGTATACAATACAAGGTATAGAGAACTTACTAAACTATCCAAAAAATTGAATCACACTTCTAAACATCCAAGAAAAAAAGATGCTGTTGCAATTACTGCACTCAACCAGTGAATGAATGCTGGAATACCCAAACCAAATTTCAAAGGATTTGGGTTTTTGTTTTCAAAATTTTAAATTTTGAAAACACAATAACAACTCATTCAGCACATGCTTTTGCTTTCAGTTTTTTGAAAACTATTTTATAGACAAGGCTCCAAAATGTTACACAAGCAGTGTATTCAATTGTAGCCAAATCTAGTGCAATCACACCAATGAACATTTAAACAAAAGCTCATTCCCAATTTCAATTCTCTTGGGAAAAAACAATAATATGTTTCCTGTTCTGTACAAACAAAAAAACATGCAACAAAATGACAAGTCTCTTGCAACGTAGAAGTTGAGTTAAAGATCCAAACTTATCTGGCTGTTAACAAAAAAAAAAAAAAAATGCATTTAACAAAAACGCACAGCCAGAAAAAAAAAAAGCACTAATGTACAGCCAGAACTAATATAATGATCTTGGGTTAAATGGATTAAAACCAAAGTAAAAGTATTGGCACCTTCTTAAGGCAAATAATAATGATAGGAATGGAAAGTAAAGCATAAACCAGACTTCCCTTGAAAACAAAAAATAAAAATAATAAAAAAAAAATGATCACATAATTTCAAGTTATTTTTGGTGCTTACCTCTTTTGTGCTGCTTATGTGGCTCCTTCTCAGACTTCATTTGAGTGGGGTCTCTGCGGATGGCAGCATGAACTTTCTTGTGCAGCTCCTCAATGCCATCAGGCTCAATTCCTCTCTTGATATACTCAACAAAATGAGACTGATACTTCTCTGGTTCATCTTCCATCAAAATCTACGTAACAACCAATAAAATCAAGTTCATGGCTGAAAAATAAGTGTTACAATAGGCATAAATTCACATCTTAACCGTTACCTTCATATATGCAGCGACATGCCCACCATAAATATGCTTGCGGTGAACCTCAGCATCCAGCTGCTTAGAGTCCTTCGAGAAACCAGAAAATCTCTTATCACTGTGAGGGATATCCAACCCGCCATCCAATGCTCCCTGTAATGAAAGTATAGCACAGACATGAAATCGCATACAGGGACAAATAATTACAGCAAAGCAGGGAACATATAGACAGTGATGCAATAGCATGAATATTGCCCAAAGATCAAAGACAACTAGGCATGACAAATTAAAAAAAAAAAAAACCAGACAAAGTTGTGAAGTTCAACATCCCTTAATTCATTCATGACTTGAAACATACATACAGTTGAGGAACCCTGAGTCCTGGGGCATCTCATAAAATAATTTTTTTTTTAGAAAAGCCAAAAACTTGCATGACTGCTTTGCTGTAATGCTAGATTCACATCCCTAACTAAATAGGAATAGTTAAAAAATTGGCAGATGGCAACTATTGTGAACAACATTTTATGGTGCCATGAACCATTTTAGTTCCATTAGAAGAATGGATGCTCCCATTATACTACAGTATAACTTGCTGGTTGGAAAAGGATGTTCAAATTGACAAGAAAAACGCCTCCTTTGAATTGTTGGATTATATTAACAATTCAGGAATAAATAACAAACACAAAATTAACAAACACAATATTAGCTGGAACCAAATTTCATTTTGATAAAATTAAGATTAGCATAATAATTCTCATAAGCAAACATAACTTCAGCCATATAGCAACAGACTAAAATACAAACGGATCAATTAGAACATTTCATCAACAATAAAACACTGTACATTTATGGTAAGAAAAGCTCATCCAACAATAAATATTTTAGCTTTCAGCCTAACAGCATTGGGAAGAGAGGGGCTCTTGTATATGGCTAGGAAGTCTTTACACTTGAAGCCATAACTGACCCAGAGTAAAACAAATAAAATATGGCCCCAAAAGAATAGAAAAGCGCATATGTCAAAATAAAGAGTGTTATGAAATAATATCTTCCGCTTGCACAAACACTCAGTGTCAAAAAAAATGATATTACAATTAAACAGTATTAATATCACAAACAAGCAAAATTGGTAAAATGTCACAAAAAATATATATACCAATCTTCAAATTATCTGCATGTCATGAAAATTAAGAACATATGGAGCATCTCATTCTAGTAATAAGTTCAAATAGTATAATTGTTTATTGTAAAATGTGTGCATGGAAATTCCCTTCAGAGCACCAAAGACACGGTTCCCAGTGGTTGCTCTAATAAGGCCAAGATCAAGGAGAGCACAGAATGACCTCCTACTCTCTGCTGGCTCAACTGAGAAATCCTCTCCAGTTGAGTGACCATATAGAAGTCCATATGTAAATCTAACAATGGAAAAGAGGAAAAGGATACTATAAATACTAAACATGAGGATACTATAAATGCTTAAACATGAATCAGGCATACCTCCACATTGCCCTCATACTCATCCTCCATCTCGAGAATTTTCAAGACACGGCAGGCCAAGAGCAATCCGGTACAGTAAGCTGCCAACATCAGTTACAGAAATCAAAACCGCAGATAGAAGCAAGCAGCCATCGACCGAAAGACATGGGGAGAGATAAAGAGGAAACGAGAGGAGAGCAAAGAGTAGTTACGATACCTGCAGCATAATTTGTGAGACCTACTTCGAGCCCATAGCGAGGCAGCTCATGGGCATATGCTGAAGCAAGGACCATGTCCCCAGCAAATGCTAGCAGATATTATTTGTGCAAATCTATTTTATCTTTTACTTGCCTGACAAAATGCAGGCTGATAACCTAATGTTCATAATTGGCATCCCATCCAATTTACAAGAAATCAAGAGAAAAGAAAAATTAGAAGAAAAGAAAATTCCATTACAATATAGAGGAGAGGTTCAATCTTTGTTGGAAGGCATTAAGTTATTTTCATTTTCCCTATAATTCAGCCTGTTTCAGAATCTAATTGTTATTACCAAATTATTCAGATTTTCCCATTTCAATTGGGATCCAACAATATATATGAAATTTCATAATTGATGTTGTTAATTTTGAAATCTGTGGAGCTTACTATTGGGTTGTTAGTTTAAAGTTCCTGGTCTAGGGTACTCATGCAAGAAGCATCAAAGTTTGTAGACATTTATAAATCAGTTTGTGTCGCACTTCAGGGAGAAACAGCCCTTTTAAACATCTTATATCTTATTTTAAAAGCCATGAATTATTGATTATGTTGTTCAATTTGCTTTTGTTGTATTTTTTGTTTTTGTTTTTCTTTTCCTTTACTTTTTTTAATATAAGGAAACTAAGGCCGCCCTTGGCACGCAACAGTTTTAGTCTAAAAGTTAAAAAGTTATTAAAAAATCAAAAATTCTCTTTTCTTTCTAATTTTTGCACATCTTTCCGTAAAAAATCAAAAAGCCATTTCGAACATACTAATTTTTTTTCCTCATATTTTAGTCAAAAAAGTCAAAAAAAATTACTAAAATAATTTATTCCCAAATGAGGCCTAAATTAGTCCAAATTATATTTGTTTTGTAGGTCCAGCAACAACTTGATTTTTAAAATTTCCATTCTACAAATTAAAAAAAAAAAAATGCACTAATGTACAGCCAGAACTAATATAATGATCTTGGGTTAAATGGATTAAAACCAAGTAAAAGTATTGGCACCTTCTTAAGGCAAATAACAATGATAGGAATGGAAAGTAAAGCATAAACCAGACTTCCCTTAAAAACAAAAAAATAAAATAAAAATAAATAAATGATCACATAATTTCAAGTGATTTTTGGTGCTTACCTCTTTTGTGCTGCTTATGTGGCCCCTTCTCAGACTTCATTTGAGTGGGGTCTGCGCGGATGGCAGCATGAACTTTCTTGTACAGCTCCTCAATGCCATTAGGCTCAATTCCTCTCTTGATATACTCAACAGAATGAGACTGATACTTCTCTGGTTCATCTTCCATCAAAATCTACGTAACAACCAATAAAATCAAGTTCATGGCTGAAAAATAAGTGTTACAAAAGGCATAAATTCACATCTTAACCCTTACCTTCATATATGCAGCGACATGCGCACCATAAATATACTTGCGGTGAACCTCAGCATCCAGCTGCTTAGAGTCCTTCGAGAAACCAGAAAATCTCTTATCACTGTGAGGGATATCCAACCCGCTATCCAATGCTCCCTGTAATGAAAGTGTAGCACAGACATGAAATTGCATACAGGGACAAATAATTACAGCAAAGCAGGGAACATATAGACAGTGATGCAATAGCATGAATATTGCCCAAAGATCAAAGACAACTAGGCATGACAAATTAAAAAAAAAAAGAAACCAGACAAAGTTGTGAAGTTCAACATCCCTTAATTCATTCATGACTTGAAACATACATACAGTTGAGGAACCCTGAGTCCTGGGGCATCTCATAAAATAAATTTTTTTTTAGAAAAGCCAAAAACTTGCATGACTGCTTTGCTGTAATGCTAGATTCACATCCCTAACTAAATAGGAAAAGTTAAAAAATTGGCAGATGGCAACTATTGTGAACAACATTTTATGGTGCCATGAACCATTTTAGTTCCATTAGTAGAATGGATGCTCCCATTGTACTACAGTATAACTTGCTGGTTGGAAAAGGATGTTCAAATTGACAAGAAAAACGCCTCCTTTGAATTGTTGGATTATATTAACAATTCGGGAATAAATAACAAACACAAAATTGACAAGAAGTGCTCTGAATATTAGCTGGAACCAAATTTCATTTTGATAAAATTAAGATTAGCAAAATAATTCTCATAAGCAAACATAACTTCAGAGATATAGCAACAGACTAAAATACAAACGGATCAATTAGAACATTTCATCAACAATAAAACACTGTATGGTAAGAAAAGCTCATCCAACAATAAATATTTTAGCTTTCAGCCTAACAGCATTGGGAAGAGAGGGGCTCTTGTATATGGCTAGGAAGTCTTTACACTTGAAGCCATAACTGACCCAGAGTAAAACAAATAAAATATGGCCCCAAAAGAATAGAAAAGCGCATATGTCAAAATAAAGAGTGTTATGAAATAATATCTTCCGCTTGCACAAACACTCAGTGTCAAAAAAAATGATATTACAATTAAACAGTATTAATATCACAAACAAGCAAAATTGGTAAAATGTCACAAAAAATATATATACCAATCTTCAAATTATCTGCATGTCATGAAAATTAAGAACATATGGAGCATCTCATTCTAGTAATAAGTTCAAATAGTATAATTGTTTATTGTAAAATGTGTGCATGGAAATTCCCTTCAGAGCACCAAAGACACGGTTCCCAGTGGTTGCTCTAATAAGGCCAAGATCAAGGAGAGCACAGAATGACCTCCTACTCTCTGCTGGCTCAACTGAGAAATCCTCTCCAGTTGAGTGACCATATAGAAGTCCATATGTAAATCTAACAATGGAAAAGAGGAAAAGGATACTATAAATACTAAACATGAGGATACTATAAATGCTTAAACATGAATCAGGCATACCTCCACATTGCCCTCATACTCATCCTCCATCTCGAGAATTTTCAAGACACGGCAGGCCAAGAGCAATCCGGTACAGTAAGCTGCCAACATCAGTTACAGAAATCAAAACCGCAGATAGAAGCAAGCAGCCATCGACCGAAAGACATGGGGAGAGATAAAGAGGAAACGAGAGGAGAGCAAAGAGTAGTTACGATACCTGCAGCATAATTTGTGAGACCTACTTCGAGCCCATAGCGAGGCAGCTCATGGGCATATGCTGAAGCAAGGACCATGTCCCCAGCAAATGCTAGCAGATATTATTTGTGCAAATCTATTTTATCTTTTACTTGCCTGACAAAATGCAGGCTGATAACCTAATGTTCATAATTGGCATCCCATCCAATTTACAAGAAATCAAGAGAAAAGAAAAATTAAAAGAAAAGAAAATTCCATTACAATATAGAGGAGAGGTTCAATCTTTGTTGGAAGGCATTAAGTTATTTTCATTTTCCCTATAATTCAGCCTGTTTCAGAATCTAATTGTTATTACCAAATTATTCAGATTTTCCCATTTCAATTGGGATCCAACAATATATATGAAATTTCATAATTGATGTTGTTAATTTTGAAATCTGTGGAGCTTACTATTGGGTCGTAAGTTTAAAGTTCCTGGTCTAGGGTACTCATGCAAGAAGCATCAAAGTTTGTAGACATTTATAAATCAGTTTGTGTCGCACTTCAGGGAGAAACAGCCCTTTTAAACATCTTATATCTTATTTTAAAAGCCATGAATTATTGATTATGTTGTTCAATTTGCTTTTGTTGTATTTTTTGTTTTTCTTTTCCTTTACTTTTTTTAATATAAGGAAACTAAGGCCGCCCTTGGCACGCAACAGTTTTAGTCTAAAAGTTAAAAAGTTACTAAAAAATCAAAAATTCTCTTTTCTTTTTAATTTTTGCAATCTTTTCGTAAAAAATCAAAAAGTCATTTCAAACATACTAATTTTTTTTCCTCATATTTTAGTCAAAAAAGCCAAAAAAAATTACTAAAATAGTTTGTTCCCAAATGAGGCCTAAATTAGTCCAAATTATATTTCTTTTGTAGGTCCAGCAACAACTTGATTTTTAAAATTTCCATTCTACAAATTCTAAGCAGTTTGACTAACCATTTTAGAAGGATAAAACATGCAAAAGACAAACTCTAAAAGGTAGATATGGTATTGCAGATTGCATTTTCTCTTCATTTGATCTGGTAGAGGAGCTTGCAAGAAAACCGTCCTAGGTGGGGAATCCATGCATAACCTTCCTAACCAGCGGTGGAGTTAAGAAATTAAATCAAATGACACTTATTAATTATAATATTAAAATTTTTTATAAAAATATTTAACATAAATTTTTACCATTAACTTCAAGAAAGACAAAAAATAATAATAATAATAATAACCAATGTATTTGGTTTTAGTTTTCTGAATTCAGTTTTCTGAAAATTAAATTTTTTTATTTTTCGTATTTTTTTGGTTTTAGTGAATATTTTTTAAATTTTAAACATTTGTTTTTACTTTTTTAGATGCACATTGGTTAGATATGTATCCAAATAGAAAAATATTTGTGAAAAAAATATTTACAAAAATTAATAAATACACAAAAATACAAAAAATATACTGAATTTTCATATAATTTATATATTTTTTGGTATTTAGTGTATTTTTTAAAGATTTTTTTCACAAATATTATACTTTTTAGGTACATTAATGTTAGGTGTGTCTAAAAATTAAAAGAAAAAATTGCTTAAAATATTAAAAAAATTTATTGAAAACATTAAAATATGGAAAATAAAAATGTAAAATTTTTTAAAAACTGTTTTCTGAAAACTATAACCAAATAAGCTAAATATTATTTATAATTAGTGTATCATTGACAATATTAAAAAAAGTCATGGATATAAATTTTTTAAATAAATTATATAATAATAAAGTAATTTTTTATACAAAATATGCGTAAAAATTCAATATAATAGTTATACCACGTCATTATTAACATGTGATATCACCAACCAATAGTAAATAAACACATGGGGAATGAACGCTACATGTCAAATGTAACTAATAATTTAATAAATTCTATATTTTCATTGAGATTAATTATATTTGTATATCAATAGTGATAGACATCACCATTATATTGAAATTTTCATAGATAATAATATCGTAATCAGTTTATTTTCAATCAAAATAATCATTATTATTCTTATTATTTTAAAAATGTCATTGACATTTAAAATAATATTTTTATAAATTCTTTTATTTAAAATATTTTCTTTATGTTTACTTAAAAAAAAATGCAAAATACAAGGGGGCACGTGACCCCCTAGCCCCTTATTAACTCTGCCCCTGTTGCTGACTATACATAATCTTTGAATTTGGACAAGACGGTAAGTATATATTGTTGTGAACAATATTGATTCATCCCCCCTTTTCCCCTTACCCCCTTTGACCCCCTCTCTCCCTCATTGGTTACATTTTCTTTTTCTTTTTCTTTTTTTT